ATCATGGTTCATTATAAATGGTTTATGAATAATTAGGTTATCAGCATGTTACAGACATAAATAGCATCTGTTCTACATGTTTAAATAAATCAGCTGATAGCATTTTATATATGGTTATGAACAACCTGTTGGCTTATTGTGATTTCTAACAATCTAATCTATAATAATCAACTATTTATTAAAACTTCTATTTATTAAATAGGTTTCTGAGGGTTGTAAATTATTATAATTGAAAAGTCAGCATATACAGTATAGCCCAAACTGACCAAATTCAGTACATCAAGTAGATCCAGTGGAAGTCATTGTTTTCATTCCTGTAGAAAGGGAGGGTAGGACTGAACAGCAAGAGAGTTTCCTGAGGTTTTATTTGCAACAACACCCAATGTTACTAATCTACTTTCAGGAGCGTCAGAGAAACTGTTCATTACTCTTGTAAGTAATCTCACTGATGTGAATGACATAGGTTCACTACTAGACTCTAGCTGCTTTGCCCCTTTTATTCTTTCCTATGCAGAAGGAGATGTCTTATAGCTGCAGACTATGCAGTTTAGCAGACAAATGCATAACAAAATCCATTGACTAGAAACTGAAGTTAGAAAAATTCAAAGTAGAAACTAAAAATTGCCTTAAGTGAGGGCAGTTAACTCCTGGGGCAGATTACCAAAGGAAATTCTCCTTCACCCAGTCTTTAAATCATGACTATCTGTCTCATAAAAAGGTGCTGTAGTTTAGCCACAGATTACTGAGCTAGAAGTGGAAACACTGACATTCTCTAGCTTATGTTATTTTGGATGGTCACTTGCACCTCTAAAAACCTCTCAGACTCCATCCATTGTAAAGACAAACAAAGGGGAGAAACAATTTAAAAATTTTTTTGCGAATCACTTAACTTCTGCATTCATAGAATCTAGAATTGTTCATTTTGATTAATCTAGAATCCAGGAATTTGCTTAAGCATTTGTCCAGGATGGTTCTAGAAGAACAAATTCTGCATTTGTGCAGTGATTTGGATTAGATGACCGTTGAGGTTCCTTCCAACCCTGTGATTGTACATGGTGAGCATCTTAGGTCTCTGGTGTGATCCCCATATTACTGTAGAGGAGAGTAACAAAAGGCACTGTTCCCTCTAAGCCTGTGTAGGGCTTCTGAATCATCACATAGTCATTGGAGTTGAGCAGGAATGGGGTGTAGGTTGCTCCAGTGATGGGGCAGAAAATAGACAAAGCCCTGGGTTTACCTCCCCAGCGTGCTAGCAACACTGGCTGGAGATGAAGGAGAAGTATGTTAAAACTAATACTGGGCTGTCACAGCTTGTTTTCAAGACGTAAGCAATGCGGAAATTGTGATGTGGAGCAGGGTTTGGGCAATTGTTTGGGCACAAGAACCATACGGGGAGTTTTGATGAGCTGCTGTGGGCTGGGTCAGCACCCTCCTGCTCCCCCCACATCCCCTGCAGCAACTCACCAAAACTCCTTATAGGACTTTGGGCGGTTGGGGACCAGTGTGTTCACACCACTGTCCACCAGATACTGCTTAGGGATCGTTGAAGCACAATTAATCCTTAAATGGAATGTGAAATATGAACACAGACAACTCAAGTGTCCTAAAATCAAAGTCTAATTTTATTAGTACAACAAGTATTATCTTATCAGTTTCTATATTCAGAGAGAGAAAAACACTTAGTACAATGATCTCACCCAATCGCAGATGTTACATTGCTTGACAGAAAAGATGGCCACTCAGTTCCTGAAGCAAAGGGTATGTCATTGGCTGGGGGATCCAGACAGGGGTTGAAAGCTGGATTCATGATGAAAATGATGATGATGTCACAACTTTCTTGCTACCCTCTTTTATGCTTTTCTTTAACTTGACTTCTTTGATGACGCCTTGCTTTTGAATTGGTTTCTCTGCAGTCAGCATATTGTCCATATTTTATCCCGTCAGCATATTCCTTTGTTCAACAGACCCATTACAAGCATACTTCTTAATTTGGCCTGTTTTCGGTGTCTTTTTTTAAGCATTGTCAATTGGTCTTTATCACCTTTCAGTAACATATCCCATCATTTCATCCCTCTGATTTAGCTGGTTAGTGCCAAGTTCAGTTAATTTGAGCTAGTAACAAAACTATTACTATGTTGTATTAGAAAAACTCACAGTGATAGAAAAAGGAAAGAACCATCGTGCGAGCAAACTTAAGGCCATAAGCTGCTTGCAAGAAACAAGGCCAGTTGATATTGCAAACACCAGCAAAATGTGAAGTTCAGATAACAATGAGGCTATACAGAACTTTAAGCTAAATACAAAAGAAAACTTTAAACAATACTATATTTCACCACTCTATAAACAGGTAGAACTTTAAAGCATAAAATATGACAAGCTACCCTGACCATGTAGGGAGTTTTGATGAGTTGTGGGCTGGGTCAGCACCCTCCTGCTCCCCCCATCCCCTGCAGCAGCTCACCAAAACTCCTTATAGGACTTTGGGCAGGCGGGGACCAGTGTTCGGGAGCAGGATGGGTGGGTGAGGCCGATCCACTCCCTGCATGCCCTGCCCTAGAGGTGTGGCCATCCGCCCAGAGCAGCTCAGCAGGGACAGGAATGGGAGGAAGAGCCGCTGCTGGAGATGAGTGAAGCACAGCAGTACACAGGCAGCTACATCCACACCAGGAACAGCCCTGCTGCAAGCTGCACATGCTGGTTGGGTTCTGGGCCAGCAGGCATGAGCTAGAGCATGGCGTGGGCTGCCCTGGTGGGAGCAGGTGGGGCTTGGCCCCATGTGGAGTGCTGCGGGGGAAGCCATGGGTCAGATCCAGTTAGTTGGCAGGCTGGATCCGGGCCGTATTTTGCCCACCCCTAATGTAGAGGGTCTTCTCTGGAGCTCCTCCTGCAGCGACTACCATATGCAATGTAGAAAATATACTCATAACTACCCTTAATTACAGACAATGGAGAAGCAGAGCTGTGAAATTTAAATAATGTGCTCTCCTCTTCAGGCAGATTAATAAGACTTTTAGTTTTATGTGGTGCCAGAAACTAAAACAATGTTTTCAGGCTATAAAGAAGGAAAGGGGCTAGAAATGGCCATTAGGCTAGATATGAGCTCATAGGGTGAGATTTTTCCAGTACAGCAGATGCTGTGTTGGAATGTGTGGCATCGTATATTAGAACACATAGTATTAATTGCTTTTAACACAGCCTAGTTAAGTCCTTATACATTTGTGATCTTCTCAAATTAGATAAACTGGTGACAATCCAGGGAACCAAGCCAGAAGGATTAAGAGGGTGTGATTTATGAAGCACAATTAAGATTTGAACTTGTGTTCATTTTTCATTATGCCGTCCTACTAAGACTTTAGCTGGAATGCTCTGCATAGCTATAAACAAGTGGAAACACGGGGTTATAATGAAAATCAGACATCTTGCAGGCGAAAGGGAATATTGACCATTAAGGGTGACCAGAGGACCGAGAGCTTCCCTGCTCTTGCTGCATACACACAGTTTCATTAGTTGCAATTCTGAGTAATGACTCTGATATGCATGTTTTAGCTGAAGCTAGTTTTGGTATTTTGAAGCAGTGCATGTGGAATATGTGAGAGTGCTGAATCCTGCAGCAGTTTCTTGCTCTGTATGGTTCTGTGGCTGCCGGTTGAGGCAGACTAGCTCAATTTCTGGTAAATTCAGAAAGTGAGAGCTTTTTTCTGTTTTGCTTTGGTGAATTCAATATAAAAAATGGGTACAATTGATTCAGTGTTCATTGTGCTATTTAATTTTTGTAGTGAATTAAATTTGTTTTATGCTTCAACCAGATTTTCATTTTAAAGTGTACTGTTGGACTGAGAATGTATTACTTCATCGTACAGTACGTGTTTTTTGGAGGAAATTAGGGATTTTGGAAACAGGCTGTAGAAGAAGTAT